GGAAATGGCCTGAGAGCAAAGTGGGAGCACGGGGGGGGGGGGGGGGGGGGGGGGGCACGGCCCAGCCGGGGCCACAACCCAACAGACACAGCGGCCCCACATGGCTGCAGGATTTACCGCCTGGATTATTAGGGTTCCCAACATCTTGGGGCCGAGGGTTCGAGTATGCCCTAGGCCGGCGTGTTTCTGAGATCCTGTGCATGGCTGTAATGTGTCCTTAGTGCGTGACACCATGTGCACATGTGCATGCGTGAGACTGCAGTGGGAGCGGCTCTGAATCGCGGGACACCGCCGGATGCGCGAGGGACAGAAGAAGAACGGTGCAGGTGATGATGGGTGCTGGGGGGTGGGGGCATCTGTGATAATCACAGCTGCGTCTTCAGATCCAGATGGCAGAGCTCCCTGGAATGCCCCCCCAGCCAATCTGTGTTGGTGCGAGAGCCACGCCCAGAGGTGGTGCCAGGCAGTGCCAGGCTGTGGTGAGCCTGTGACAGAGGGGGGCTTCTTCCCCGCTCGCTGCTCCTCCATTATTCATCCCTCCCCCCCAGTCCTGTCATATGGCGACCCTCCCAGTGCCAGGCGGGGGCCAAGGAAATCCCAGCCATCCCCACTCCCTGGCCAGCTAATCCACACCATCCGCGGTGTGCGGGACAGTGAAATAACCTGGACTCTGGGTCTCTCCCCCCCCCCCCCCTTCTGAGGCTAGGGGTAGGAGGGGAGGTGGTCTAACCTTGCTGGAAGAAACCTCTCCCACCTGTCGGCTCCCCCTCCCTCCCTCCTTCCCTCCCTCTGGGGTACGCTAGGATTCTGTCACATCCATTGACAGAAGCCACCAGAAGGGAATGCCTCCCTTCCCAGGAACTGGGGAAGGAGCTGGATGGGGAGGAGAAAATGGATAGGGAGGGAGAAGAGGAGAGAGCCATGGTGGGGTGGGGGGGCAAGAGGGTAGTATGGAAAAAGAGGACCCAATCTCTGAAATTACCCAGGCCCGGTATTGACCGGCCAATTATGTGGAGTTCCATTTACAAAAACGCAGCCATAACTGCTAACTTTATGGAGACTTTCATCTCTCTCCTGCGCCCCCTCCCCCCCCCCCGCCCCCGCGTGCTGCTTTAATAGGATATTGATCGACAGAAGCAAATTCGATTGGGCTGCCACTGAATTGTGTAATGGGTGCACAAAGCCAAGGTCACAGCACAGAGACAGGCGGGGTGGGGTGGGATGGGGGGGCCTGTCGTTCATTCAATATCGCGACCTTTCATCTTCCAGCGGGAGCGGGAGTTTGAGCGGCTCTGCCTCTCCCATTCACTTAGATAAACCACACGCGCCTCCCTGACGCGCCACTGCCTGCCCTCATGCCATCCCCACGCCGCCGCCCTCACACGAACGACCCTACGCCCTCAC